AAAGATCGTATTTATCCTTGTCTTTTTAGTAATGGTAATGTGTAATATTGCTTATTTATTCTTTATCGTTATGCATTTCTAAACATTGTTCTTGAAGAGGACAATCAAGTTTAAGTCCAGATTTACATATCTTTTTTGGTATTTTAGATTTTCTACTCTTACAACTCTTACAAAATATTATTTTATTATTATTATTTTTTTTAATAATGATAGATAATATACAAATTTATCCGAATTGGGCTCGATACAAGGTTAAATGTTAGCTAGTCATGTGAGTAATTGCATCCCACACGTGGAGGATCTCGCATGGAATTAGTACGTATTCATTGTTTATGGACTTTTGATCTACATCCAAAGTGGTTCGCAAATTTTGGTTAATTAGAAAGAGTAACATTGTACAGTGTTTCAGAATAAATGCACGTATGATATAATCGGATAACAACACGACTAAATAGTCTATGAATAATCCCACCGCGATATAATCTTATTCATGTCGAAAAAAAAAAACACGTACAAGCAATTGATGTTCGTTAGTTTAATAAGCAATCATCCATTTTAAGACCTAGATGACAATGATCCTAATTATTGAGTTTATGATACCAAGAACAAACGGGGTTTAAAACTGTATGACAATGCAGGAGAATTGAGAAAATTTTTAGTATTGTAAATTAGTAGAGATAATGCACAAGTATCATGTGTAAGATAATAATGTCAATAAAAACCTAAAACATCAACGATAGGCAAACTATCAATTTTGCTAAAGAACGTTTTATACGTTTTATCTGAAGCTCAACCTTTGTTTTGCTTCTTAATTACATGCCTTCCCTATATATTGCTTGATGCAAATGTTCCGTGGCGCGAGACACTCATTATTAAGAGGAAAAAATAGTTTAACTCGTACTTTTAATAAAGATGCTTTCGAAAAAGGAAAGCTAAGTTTCAGGCGTAGCATAACCATGAAAAAAGAAGGTCTTCGTGACGTTACTGAGATCTTAACCTTGGAAGAAGTTCATTTAATTGTTAAAAGATGTGCTGATGAAATACGAGAAAGAGGTCAATATATATTCTTTTTTTTTTCCTTCAATTTTGAATTGAATTATTTTGAATTTTCATGGTTTCATGGTTTAAAAATAATTCAAATAATTCAATAATTTGATAATTCAATAATTCAATAATCCAATAATTCAATAATCCCATTATTCAATAATTCGATAATCCCACATTCTAAACAGGACTGCATGAAATTGATATCTTTAAACCTACCAAAGTTGGTGACAATGCTGATGAGGTCAGGTACCTTATCAAATGTATGCTAAGAGAATATCGTATCCAATTTGAGGAGGAGCTCAAAAAACGAAATATTCGTGAAATTTCTTCAGCTATGAAGTGGGCCCTTAGGCATTGTGCCTCCCCACTTGTTCCTTATTCTAATTATGAAGAATTTGTTAGATATGAACAAGGTTTTTATTAAATTTTTCTGTTCTTTTGACTTTTAATTCTTTTAACCTTTAATTCTTTTAATAAATTTTTATATTTTAATTATATTTTAATTATATTTAGAATGGGATTATGATCCACAAAAAGGCTCATTTAACCAATTCCTTCTTTACCTTCCTAAACAAAATCAAGAAATTCTTATTGATCTGTTTGAACTCTGTTCTCAAGTTACTGCTGAATCTCATATTAATAATATGTCTGCCCAAAAAATTGTAAAATCTTTGGCTCTTTGTATATTAGGCGAATCTACAAGAAGTTTAAGAAATTTTGACTCGGCTTATTTAGAATGGTCAAAATGTTCTGATGCTTGTCTACACCTTTTCCTTGCCTATTTACGTGAATTACAATTCGTTTCTCCAAATCCTCGTTTATCAAAATTATTGGATAATTATGTAGAATATCGTAAAACTTCTAATGCTACTATTGAAGCTATTTCTCAAAATAATTCGGATTTAAAACTTTCTCAGCGAGTAAATAGAATGACTACTATCATAGAAGAAGATGATGAATCTTATCGTCCTGTTAGTATGTTAAGAGTTACTAGACAAATTCCTACTACTATTCAAAAATCTGAATCAAGAACTTCCATGAATTTTCTACCTGAAGTTTTGGATGGTTTAAAACGTCAAACTATTGTTCGTCCTGATGAAACTATGTCCACTGACGAGATTCGCACTGTCAAACAAATGTGGGAACAATTCCAAAATCATGGCATCGGTGCTTTATCTGATGATTTTTTAAAATTATACTTTTTACTTGAAAAAGCTAACGCTTTAAAAAATTTAAAAGACCCTCAAGTTAAATTTGTTAGAAAAGGACATAAAAGTTTCTGTTTGAATTTACCTCCAATTCTTACTAATAATATTTCTACTTCTCGTAAACAAATTGAATTCACTGGTGGAAATGATGATTCTATTAAAAAAAATTTATCTAGAAAAAATTCAAGAAAAAAATCTCGTAAAAATAGTTTAAAAGGAAAGAAGAAATCGGCTAAATTTCAATCTTCGAAAAGAAAACGTACGTCTCTTTCTTCTGATTCTGATCAATCTAAAGAAAATGAAGTTGAAAATTTAGAAGATTGGAACTTAATTGATCAATCGAAAGACTTACCTATAACCACCCATTTAAGCATTGAAACAATTGATGATATATTTCCTTATGTTTGGATAGAAACAACTGCTGTTGATCAAGGTGATCGATGGGGTGAATGGGTCTTTATTGAACCAAGAAAAGGGCTAGTTCATGAATGTGAATGGGTTATGATCGAAGAAAAATCTCTAATATCTACCAATGCAAAAACTCCTATAAGTGGGAAAAGGAGAACATTAAACATTCCATGGACGACTAAAGGGAAAGAAAAATCAAGACTTTCAAGTCCAATCAATGACATTGGATCACCTACATCATCCAATTCATTCGCTTCATCCAGTTCTCCCAGTTCGTTTGCATCATCCAGTTCTCCCAGTTCATTTGCACCATCTAGTCCTCCCATTTCATTTGCACCACCCAGTTCTCCCAGTTCATTTTCATCATCCAGTTTGCCCAGTTCACCCATTGTAATTTCAAATCGAGCTAGGGCAGATGATAACATAGATATGTTTATTTACCAATTTGAAAATATAATGAATGAAAATGTGATGAGAAACACGGCAAAAGGAAAAAAAATCGTTCCAGATAATCAAGGTCATAGTTATGATTATTTTGGAAACAATTATGTTGAAAATAAAGACAAGTTACCAATACAACCTACAAAAAAAGGCAAGAACTCTGTAAAGAAAAATTCTAAAAGTAAAGATAAAATTGTTAAAAAACAACGAATTATGCAAACTGGTGTATAATTAGGCTATCAAAATTCTTTACTATTTACTGTAATCCCCTTTGAAACTTATTTTAATTTCTATCACACTTTGTCTCCAAAACAGTTTTGAATTGCTCAATAACTTTCAATAATTCGCTTTATTATGTAGTTTATTTTTAATTTCAAAGATAAAAAAAACCTTTGTAAATTTGAAATTTAATTACTTTAAAATTGTACAATTATTAAAAATAATTCAATTTAAATTTTTTCTTTCCTTTTTTTTTTTTTTTATATTGTTGAATACTTTGTTGTCAGATTGTTTTCTAACTATTGATGGCCTTTGCCATTGGACACACTTGTCTGAGATAAGTGAGTTAATCTACTTTCTTTTGTGTCAACAAACTAAAATAAATATCCTGCAAATAATAAAGAGAAATAGATCTAGATCATATATAGCATATATACAGTATTACAGTACAAAAGACAAAACAATCCTATGAGAAAACAAAAAAAAATTTATCCAAAAATTTTCATAATTTTGCTATATTATTGAAATTATCTTATAAACCAAGTGATTAACAATATATGTATTTCAGTAAGGTAGGTATGTAGGTTTAATTTTACAAAGTTATCTATTGGCCTATATCAATATGTACATCAATAGCAGATAGGCAATGACGTACGTACGTACGTAATACGTAATTCTACTTAAGAGCTAACTATTCAGAAACTTATAGTCAAGTAATTTGCTACGTAGCGACAAAATTCTTTAACGAACGATATTTAGTTTTTTAACTTTATTCTAAATTTTTCTGTATGTAGGGAAGCTCGATATGAAACTTTGTGCGTAATTATTTTATTTGTGTACAGAGCAAGATATTACATAGATGAATAAGACATTATACGTAATTGACATTATATGGTAAGATAATGGTTGCATACGTATAAAGAATAATATATGCGTAAGTGGAAATGTATTTAAAATTCTTAACGTTAATATATCAAATTTAAAATTATTGGTAATTATTGGTGCAATTATTTTAGATGATCCTACTATAATTTTACCATTAAAAATTTTAAATTTTTATTAAATCGTTACCACTTATGGCATATCGATATCAAAATTTTTTCATTTTATATGCGTATAAAAACATAAAATCGTAGGATATAAGGATAGGATGAGTAAGACCACTAACTGAACTAACTGGAATTATTTAATTATAATTATTTGTTGAGCAATGTAACATACCTACAATATGATGATAATGGGGAAGATTCCGATAGAATGTTACAACAAACTATTTATTAAACATGGCGTATTGATAATCTTAAATTTACGTATTCATATCAAATATCAAAAAAGTAAACTTTTTTCATTTACAATCAGCCTAAATATCAATTATATATATATATTAAAATTTATATAGTTCTTAATTAATGTAGGATTATCGGTCTTAACAATGGACACAATGGACAATTGCTTTACCACAAAGAAATTACCTCATGTGATATTGGATGATCGCGACAGAACGAGAAAGAATAAGATGTTTTTTCTGGCTGCTTCATGCTCTTAATAAGTGCATGTACTTTAAGTTCATGATGCTTGATAATATGATATTGTCCAGGATTTTTTGTTTGCAACCGAGTGAAAAAACTTACTTTCCTAACCTCTTTTCTGTCGCGGTTACTGGCATCATAACATATACTGTAGTGACCCCAAATTTCTTATAATTATCGGAAATCTAAAAATAGATCACTCATGAATTTCATAAGTTATCTATTTTTTGATTCCCCGGGTTTTCATTTGGCAACATTCATAGTTAAAGCTCGGTGTAAATTATTTAATTATTTACAGAGAAACCCCTGCAATCACACTCTATAAATAATAGTATAGGAGGGCTTTCGTGTGATTGGCTGATTATTATATAGCTTTAAAGTATTTTTTTAAAAATTATATATAGAAAGTTTTATTAGAATTATAGGATTCTAATATCAATACCCTTTCTTTTTGAGAGAAATTAGCATGGTAATTAATATTTATTCGGCAACTATGTAATTTTTGTCGAATAATAAATTTATTTGGCTGACTTCTATAAACAAGAAAGGGGTTTTGATTTTTTTTGTAGTGGATTCTACAACTCTAATAAAACTTTCTAGTTTTTTTTTTTATTATCTTTAGTTTTACTTTTTTTATAATTTGAATAAATAAATAAAATTTATCAGCTAATACATACAAAGTTCGATAATTTTATATGACAATTACCATCGCTAATGTTTCGGGCGAAATTGTTTTGTCATTTTCGAAATATTTCGGATTTTGATAGTAATCCTAAATTCCGAAATCAGGACGAAAATCCGATATAAACCCGATATTTCCGATAGCGATAGCCTGATTGGCCAGTTTTCGGTTTGCACGTGATTATTAACCACTTAAATTAAATCACATAACGATAAGGCCACACAAAACATTAATGAATCTAATTTAAAATTAGAATTTATTTAGTATTCACCGGAGGCGAAATTCTCAACGATATGTTTTTGAATTATTATTATACGATCTATAGAAAATTTTACCACAAATTTTAAAGCTAAAATTATGCTTTAGGATTAGGGTTTAGAGCTTGAATGAAGGTTGAGGTTAGGCTTTTAAGGAGTTGATCATTTTTGCTTAGTATACCAAATATCGATTATCAAAGCCATTTTTGAGAAACAAAATGCCCGGTGAATTTTATCTCCGGTGAGCGTTAAGATTATCCTTAAAATTAATACTTATTTAACCAAAATATAAAGAATATCAGAATATTTCGAGCAGTATAGTAATTTTCTTCCATTATAAAATAAAAGAGTATAAGTTATCGTTAGGTGGATTTAATCAGACTGCGATTCTGCAGTTCCTTTATTTATTAGATTCCAATATCATCTTTGACACATTAACAGTTAAATAACGTTTTCATATTTAAGCAAAAAAAGTGATCTATAGTTCCACAAAATTGAAGATGTTTTATATAGCGCTGAGCTAACCTGAGCTAAGCAGAAAGTGCATAGCACTAACAAAATTCACAAACATATTTTATAGTTGTTAGAAAAATTGAATTGTTTAATGTAGAAATATGCAGTTATTAACAATATATTCCCCTTTTCAATTTTTCTGTCCTAAACAATTGATAATTAGAGCAGGCTTCCGATACGTATCATATTTTATAATCTTAGACTTAGCATTAGACCTACGATTCACAAATTTAGCGTGGATCTCCATTTTTTTTTGTAATTTCAAATTGATGACAACAATAACATAACGACAAATCATTCTATTATATTTTCATTCTTAGCCGATTTGATAAATTGATTATCAAGAACCATTCTAACAGAATTTTATATCTTGCAGTCTTTAATAGCAAATTATTGTACATATGGGTCGATTAGACTCAACGATTTTGCTGAAAAAGTTGTCCTGATTTAGGTTAAGCTCGGGTTGATTTATAGTTAATGTTAGCTAGAGACAAATTCGGCAATTCTACCAGACCCAATTAATCCAAATATATAGCTTATTATTGAGAAATACAAGGTTGTCGAATTTTTTCCGGAAAGGAATGTAGGTTTTATAAAGCCATCACTAAAACATACTAAGTTTCAAATTCTAAACTGGATAATGGATTAGTACATAGACTAGGAACTGGAAACCAGTGTGAGTCTGGAGTATAAGTATCATATATTTCTAAAAATAAATTATTTTTTATAAATAATTCAAATAAAAAATAATGTTTTTTAATTAATTTATAATATATTATATATAGTAAAGTCAAAATTTTACTAAGTAAATCGATTATGCCTATTAAGTGAAAATTGTTCAAGAGATCAAATTACATATATCCTGAAATTTTTATATAATTACGATAATTTTATTAGTTTATATTTAATTTTTATTGTTATTAAATAAAAATTTATAAAAAAAATTTAATCGATTTTTTTAACATAAATTGCAAAAACATATTAATAAAAAATTAGCCAAATTATATAATAATTTCAAGATATATGCATCTTGATCTTCTAAACAATTTTTACTTAATAAACAGAATCGATTTACTTAGTAAAATTTTGACTTTATTATATAAAACAAAAGTGGCAAACGGAAAATACCAAAACTACTTTTTTGATATTTTTAATATAAATGCATCAAAAAAGAAATTTTGATTATCAAAGGATGTAAAAGTATAAGTCTTCCGCTTCGCTCCAAACAACTAGTACAGCTGCACATCACTCTTGTACATGGTAAGTTACTGTTACCAATAGGCTTACTCAACATAGTTTTATAATACATTATGATTTATGTTAATTAATGAGCTTGAAATCATCTGAACAAGTAAATACACTTTCAAGAAACCTTAGAATTAAAAGACCTTGACTACATGCAAATTAATAAGAACATGAGCCCCAGGAACAAATCCAGACCAAAATCCATAATCTTTACGGCTTGACCAATATCAAAATTTTATCAAATCCATAGCCACAAAAAGGTGTTTCATCCTGATAACATTTCCGCCATGATGATGCCAAATCCATACATAAATATGGGCAGTTGACATAAATTTTTGACCTAACAAAACCTCTAAAGTGATGTCGTAAATGAAAAAGTCATTTGCGAAATAAACTCCACATACAGTAACACCACCGATCCAATACTTATGATCCACCAAAATTCAGCAAATCGGCCCGAATTTTGGGTCAGAGATGGGCCGGAGCAAAGTGACATTAAGCAATAATACCGGCTGACTATATTATAGCAAAATCATCATTTGGCCGCCACTATATTAGTAAAATTTGTGGTGATTTAAGGAAAATTTTATTAATTCCGGCCTATTCCGACCCAAATTCGGGTCGATTTGCTGAATTTTGGTGGACCCTCTAGCGCAATTAAAGCAAATAGTTAAAGAGGAAAAGCACGGGAGAATTACTAATCCTTTGGCTAATCTTAAGATCCAAGCATGCCCTATGACAAATATTATTGGTCAGATTTGATAACGTGTTTAATACAGTTTCGGATAGTTGCAATTACGGATTTTATCGGAAAATTTAATCGTTGGGCGAAACTAAGATCGCCCATATTTCGGATTGGGCGAAATATTTAGGCTTCGTCCGAAACATTAACTAATAAGAAGTTCACTATAACGAGAGTGACTTGTAAAACTAAATCCACTGATCTGTGTAACGCGATTATCCGCAAAAATTGAGTATAAATTGACGTTCAATTCGTCATTTATCGTTATTACCTATATATATATAGTTTAAAAATGGATTTAAAAATAGATTCTACTATTACTTTGAACGATGGAAACAAAATTCCAGTGATAGGTTTGTTATTATAATTGTAAAGATTATTATTATTTTGATAAGACTTATTTAATTCGAAATAACTTTTAGGACTAGGTGTTTTTAAGGCACCAAGTGGTAAAACCACACAGCAAGCAATTTTATGGGCTTTAGAGGTAAGTTATCAACGATTATATAAATTTCACAATAATAATAATAATAATGCTAACTTTTAACAGGCAGGATATAGGCATGTCGACACTGCATCTATTTATGGTAACGAAAAGGATGTTGGAATTGCTATCGCAAATAGGTAGGTTATAGCAGTAGAGCTTTGTCTCATAGCGGCTGATTATTAATAAATATAAAAATTCCGATCAAAATTGTCGACCCTTTTGGTCAAATTTTTAAATATTTTACTCCAGATCTGGTCAAATGATCGCAATTTTGTCCGGAATTATATAACTCGTTATATAGTTTGATATTTATTAGACAGCTGATATGGTACATGACATAGCTTATTTTGTGATCTAAATTAAAAAACCGATTACTTATAACTCTGGTCGAATTTGTAGATCATTTGGCCAGATTCGGAATCAAAACTCTGAAATTGGCCAAACGATCTGCAAATTTGACCAAAATTATAGTAATCGGTCTAATTAGCGTTAGAAATGTGCGATAAACCTAGCATATATTTCGCATTTCATATGACCTCGCGCGAAATGTGAGATGAACTCATACTGAACGGAGTTTGATGTTCAGCAAATTATATGTTTGTGATGACTTTGTTTTTTAAAGAAATTTTTGTCTATTAAAAAAACATTTGCGTTTGATAATCACTGATCACTAAGATATTCTTTATTGAAAATTTATTTCGCGCGAGGGTGATATCAATATCTCACGCTGGGACACGCCTCTAGTTCTAATATTTAGATCACAATCAAAATTAGTGTGAAGTGTACGGAGTAGGATAGTTCGCGATTACAGTAAAAAAAAATTTATTTTAACGATTCGAATTTTAATTGAACGGTCACGAAATATATATTATCAGATTATGATTTTGATATTATACCCAGTTGCCACTGGCAGACACTTTATATTCACATGCCTTTTACTAATTTTTAGTGGAATCCCTCGTGAAGAAATTTTTGTAACAACAAAAATTTGGAATACTGGTAAGTTCATCTTTAACTTTATATTTATCTTCAGGAAATTCTATTTTCACTCGAGTTAATTTGTTAGTTGGTTAGTCTGGCCGACTCTTGATTCAATTGAACCAATTTAAAGTTACATTTAAATCTGGTAATAAACTGGCTCGCTTTGAAAACCGATTATTCGGTCATGTGACAAAATTTGGCTATACTTTTATAATTCTTGATCAAATTCTATAGATTTATAGGATTCAAAGACTATCTTAATACATATCATTATCGGGGTACTCTTACTAAAAAACGTAGACGGTAGCCATACTTTTAAGATCCCTCCAAAACAAGCACCGCTGCTCACACCAGCATTACGGGGGAGCTTATTTAGTACTTTGAATTCCACAAATGTAGGCAACATTAGAATTTAATAATGTCCTATCTTTTTCGATAATTGCTTGGTAATTTGAGGTTTGCCCAAATTGAAAAATATAGCCTTTAATAATCGTCTACGTTTTTCAAATTATACGAGTCTATAGAATTAGAATATCGAAAATAGTTATGCCATCATCGAGATATTTATTGTCGTTGAACGGCTGAAGCTTGAAATTGGGGACCTCGATTTGGGTGTCAATAGAAACCAAGCAAATTGTTTCTAAGTAAATTTTTTTTAAAATTTAAATTAAAATATCTCAACAACTATTAAAGCAAACTTGGTAATTTTTTTTATTTTAATTTTATTTAGTTATAGAATTAAAATAAAAAAAATTTATAAGTTTGGTTAAATAGTTGTTGAGATATTTTAATTTAAAATTCACTAAAAACATATTTGCTTGGTTTCTATTGACACCCCATATAAACCCTACCAAAATCCACTTATACATTTTAATTATCAAAACTAACCTAAATCCTAAGCTAACTATAAAAAAAAAATGCATCCCAAAATTTTTTGAAAATTTCATATTAAAGTATTTAAAATTTCAAGCTTCAGCCGTGACATTTATAAACTTTAGATCATATGACGGATAACTTTAATCTGGATGAAAATGGAATCACACCCATTTTTACTTCTGATGAATATTTTTGTCCTGATTCATAACGATTCTTATCCCTAGCAATACTAAATTATAAAATTTTATAGATCAGGGCTATGAATCGACTCTTAAAGCCGCAGAAACATCATTGGAAAAGCTTCAGACTGGGTATATTGATCTGCTAATTTTACATTCTCCTTTGCCCGGTCCTGAAAAACGAGCAGAAAGTTATAAAGCTCTACAAGAATTGGTTAAACGAGGATTAGTAAAAAGTATTGGAGTTTCAAATTATGGAGTAAAACATTTAAAAGAATTATTAGATAGTAATCCAGAGATTAAACCTACGTTAAACCAGGTTGAGGTAATATAAAAATTATTTCATAATATTTGTGTACATATCAATATTTTTGTTTTTTTTAAAAGAAAAAAAAAAACGAAGAACTTTGATTTAGATTCATCCATGGTTAGCTCGAAGTGACATTGTATCCTTTTGCAATGAACACAATATTGTCGTTGAAGCTTATTCACCACTTACCAGAGGACAAAAACTCAATGATCCTACTCTTGTTCGTATTGCTAAGGAATACGGGAAAACGCCAGCACAAATTTTGATTCGATGGGTAAGCTCAAGTTCATATTTAACAATTTAATGGTAATGTGCATAATAATATTAGACATAATTTATTCTTCATTAACAGGGCCTTCAACATAATTATGTGACATTACCAAAAAGTGTCAGTAAGGAACGTATCATTGAGAATGCAAATGTTTTCGACTTTAAAATCAAACAAGATGATATGGAAACCCTTGATAGTCTGGATGAATACCTTGTTGTTTGTATGTTTTCTCTTTTTAATCAGTCTGTCATTAATGTTTGTTTATTATAGATCTTTTTTTTTCATTTCATTTTTTTTTTCAGCCTGGGACCCTACTATAGCTGATTGAGTTTTTGTTTAAAATAATTGAATCAACTTGCAAGATCCAAAAAGATTTGATTAACTATTTTATAAAGTGAGATCATATTTGAATTTATTAAATAACTTATTAAATAAAAAAAAATCTATTATTTATATTAAAATATTAATTATGATTGCCTGACTATTGACCATTGTGCAATGACATTAAATGCTTATTAACAATTTGATTTGCCTTCGAAATACCATTTATTTTAACCTTCTCCTTTTTATTGTCTGACAATTTCAAAAATTTTGTCTTCAATTGTTCATCTTTCATAAAATCTTCCATTGCGTCTTCATATAACAATTCTACCATTTTCATCTCATCGTTTTTAACTTTAACGTTCTGTTTTGAAATTACCGAATTCAATCTGTTTATATTAATAAACTCGCTAAGATCCATCATAACTTTGTCAACTGACGTTACTTTTACTTTTTTACTTAATTTATCTGGATTCTTTTTGCGTTCATCAAAATTTGGGGCTTTAATCTTAAGTATAACACGACGTCTTTTAGAGGTTCGGATATTCTTAACTGGTTTAATTACAATTCCTTCAGCCATATTATCATTGAAGGGAGGTGGTAATGGAGTTGGATAACCAAATAATTTTGGTATAGTAGTAGTAAAATTTGGATCAAACTTAATAACATTTTCGTAACTATCTTTGATTAATGGTTTTAAATAAGGAATATCTGAAGCATTTAATAATTCTTCCATTATATCAAAATCTAATAAATCTACACCATCAAATAAATCGAAAGCTATAAATTCTGTTTTTGGTGAATAATAAACACCAGATTGTATTGGGTGAATTGGGTTTAAATTTTCTTTAACATCTTTAGTTATATCAGGATGAGGATATTTTCCGCCGAATAATTCACCATAAATAATAATCATTTCACCTCTAATAAGATTTTTTGAAAGCATTAATTTATGAAGTAATAAAATTTGCAAAGTGTATTTCGTAAGCATAGACTGATAATTGTAGAAATCTTCGTCTGGAGCAATAAAACCATTACGACGAGCACATTTGATTTCATGGCCATTAGTAAAAAAAGAAAAATTAGCGCCATGAATTTTTTCAGTCGCTACCCATCTGTTTAAGAAAATTTAGTTATCTCAGGATGAAATTAACTATGAATACTAAGTTAATTTACATACTCGCAAGAGTTCAACACGTCTTCCCTAGTAAAATGATTAATGGTTATTAGATTATGACTGTTTTCAATCGATCCGTATGGGACAAAGGTGCCCCACTTTGCTGGGACTAAAGAAGCATCAGTGGATTCGTCCGCATTGCTAGCATCAATTGCATTATCCAAAGACATGATTAGCTTATCACTATGTGAATCTAATTAATGAATGAAGAATAGAAGACGGGAATTAAAGATGGGCAAGGTATAAATACTTTTTTACCCCTACGTATTTTACTATTACGATTCACAAATACAATCCAATCAGCAAATACCAGTTTTTTTACTTATTGTTATTAAAAATTTAGTGGTAATATTTCGCGGAAGCGCTTAACATGAAGTCCTTATATATTACGAATAGGGGATGGCAACAAATTGATTTATTCATATGCACATAAGTACGTACGTACGTACGTATTAGAAACTCCGTAACTTGCCGTAACTATTGCCGTAACTTGTCGTAACATAACAGATAAAGTAAACAGATAAAGTTATGGCAAAAAGCCGTAACTCATTTATAGTTATTACACATCTGATATTACAGAGATAGTTATGACATTTACGGCATTAGTTACGGCCTGTACTCTACGTAGTAAGTATGCGTCGCATATATCAAAAAATTTCAAAAATTATGTGATGTACAGTACTTCATGCAGTTGTTAATTAAAATACTAATGTTAGACTTGTAAGGAAAACTGCAAACCAACATTATAATGGCAAGTCAAGAAAGCATGGTAGGTGTAATAAAGAGGTGTTTTACCAAATCATTGTTGTTAATTCTTCGAAACAGCAGAGACAGTGCCCGATCCAGAGTGAATCCCTCTCTCCTGTGATCAATCACAAATTAAATTATTTATATTGGATTCAATTGTGATGAATATAATCCCTCACCAGTTTTAATATATGTGTAACATTAACGGTCTCTGCTTCGTACTCTTGTATGTTTATATTTAACAAATACTGTATTTTTATATCATAAATATGAAGATATTAATTAAGTGATATGACATTTTGATATATCTGAAATTATGTGCTAGGATATAATGTGAGGCATTAATGGATCTTAAGAATCTTTCAGGCTTAGTAACATATATTATGCGTCAGGTAACTATTTCAAGCAAATCAAAAATCACTTTTTTATATCCAAACTAGCTATCCTAAAATTTTTTTGAGATTATGTGGGAAGTCAGTAGAGAAACCCTTTTTCTAAATAAATATATTAAAATATCTCGATAATTATTAAATAAAATTGGATAAAATTTTTATATTTATTCAATATAATTATAGAATTAAAATAAAAAAAAAACTATTAAATTTGGTTTTGATAGTTGCTAAGATGTTTTAATTTATTGATTAAAATACATTTTATTAAAGAGGTTGCCTAGTATATCCAAATCTGGAAACCTGAAAAATAATACTAAGATTCTTCATGATATACATTTAATTAGCAGTCTCTAATAGACTGTTTTCATAATAGAGATATACGGATTCAGATGTGGTAGTAAATTCACGTATTATATAAATTCATTTTATCCAGAGTGAACTGTTTTGTTTTTTTTGAATTTTGTTCATGGTATAAAAAGATGCGATTATAAGAACAATAAAATTGTTTAAATTATTTCTATATTAATTTAAACGTTAGCAGAGACGAAAAGTGAACGTATTATACGTAGCACGTGAATTTGGATTTTTCTTGGGCGGCATTGTAGAACATAAAGTCTTCGGACCAATGACGGACCTGGACTAACTTTATCATTCCTAGTTTTATAATAGCGCTAGGGTTTATGTGCATCGTTGCGTAATGCGCATGACGTATTTTGCCATCTGCATGATACCCGAACTGTGCAAACGGCCGATCAGTAATTCCTGGGAAAATCTACTAAGATGTTATTTGTCAAATGGCCAGATAATATAACTGATAAATAATATTATTTACACATAATAAGTATATATATAGAAACGAACTAAAAAGAGGTGATAAAAATATAAATAATATTATTTACACAAAACAAATAGAAACGAATTAAACGTATTTTTTAACATCCATATCGACATTGTGTTTAAGAATTATCCATTTTTTATAAAAAGCATCAAAAGAAATCAGAATGATTAAAATGACTTCAACAATCAAAATATATCCGAATCCTGGTGGTTATTGTGAAAAGGAATTTTATTTTAACTATAAGACGAAGAAATATTGTGTGCTATGGATAAAATCTTACAAAGAAGACGATTGTTATAAAATTCTTCATCACAAGATTACGGAATTATTAATTCGTGAAAGAATAACAAGGAAAGAAGCTAAACAATTCATGGATGACATGATCAAGGAGATATATGAAAAATATTTTAGTGAAAGATTAAAGGAGAACATTATTAATGAGGACGATGACGTAGTTTTCAAGTTTTGTATTAGAGTCGCTTTCGATTCATATCCTTGTCTCGTGGACATGATCAAAGACAGAAATAAAAAGCTTGTTTATTGGATGGAATTTCACGAAACATAGAATACATTTTAGGTCACATAAAATTAGATTTTTAGTTCTTATAACGTGGTTGGGCCAGATTTCACATATTTACTATCCAGGTAGATTTCTCTAAAAAAAAAAAATTTAAATATTTATTGATTCAAGTTGACGTAATTTGATTCGAATCAAAAAATTCATTTAAATTTTATTGATTTATTTGATTCGGGTTAATGCGGATTCGGTTTTTAATTCAGTTCATCCGAACTAAATCAACTCTTTCGGAGCACTAAATATAGAATATACACAATTCATATATAAAATTGTCAAATAGTAAATGTTAGTCTAGTAGTTTCTGAAAAATCTTTAAAAAATATTTTAAAATATAAAATTTCTTCGGATTTTTTAAAAAAAATTTATAAATTAGTAAAATGTTTTTTAAGAATTTCTTAGGAACTATTAGGCTAATTTTATTACTCTTACTATTATTAAATGCATCTTGATAAGCTTTATAACTTTATTTAGAATCTCAAGAGTAATTTATTTAGCAAAAAAAGTTCTAAATATAGTATCTTTATATTTAGCTTAATAATAAAATTTATTTATAAAAATTTGCAAATCTTTTCCAAATAATAAATAGATTATCTATTAAATTAAATTTAAAAAATTATATTTAGTTTTTATATATAAAATATTTAGATAGTATTTGTTAGTAAAAATTTTAAATTTTTAACAAAAACTTCCAGAAAAGAAAGGACAACCAACTGAAAGAAAATATGATCATGAAAAATGTATAAAAGTAGATTGCATCACAGTTTGGGATCTACTAGTAAACATAAAGACTTAAGAAATTAAGTACAGTCTCGGATATTACCAAATATAGAAATTGATCTACTATTAGTAAAAGACTATTCTAGAACCGATTTATATAGTATTTTTGTTTTTTTTTAAAAAAAAAAGTCGTTTAATAATAAACCCTCGAATTAATTTTAATATAAATTGTCCTATGACTATGTAGTCTAAGAATCCGCCATGATCCCAACGGCTTTAAAAGGTAGTTGTTTATCAAATAAGAAAACAAACGGTGATTGGTGTAAATTTAGCCTCAAGGATTTTCATAGACTCGTCATAGACTTAAATGGAAGTCTCAAGAATTTTCTAGTCGTACAAAAAAGGGGGTGATCTGCAATATTCAAATTTGGTAATATCCGAGACTGAAGTATATTTGCAAAAAGCTAAGAAAAGTAAAAAATATATATATTAAATAAAGAAATAGCAGATTGTTTTCAGTAATAGAATTTAGTTCAAAAATAGAAGTTAAAAATATATATTCTGGGTTTTTTCAATAGGTAATAGGAAACTTGCTTAGGTATTAAAAAGTAAAGAAGATTATAAAAAAAGAGATTAAAGATATAAATTTGTAGCAAAATTAACAGAAATTATAAAGAGCCTTTTAGAAACTTTACTTCACAGATATTTAAAAAATAGGAAAACAAAGGTAATTTATATTCTCAAAAAGAAAAGTAAGTTTATAAAACAAACAGCAAAAGTAACATTTATTACAAAGCAAAAAATGAAAGAAGCACAAAACAAATCAATAAAATATCATAATTATCACAGATTAAAATGAAATCTAATTAAAACAAAAAAATTTTTTTTTAAAGAAAATTTAAAAATTTTTGTAGAATATTTTTTGAAGTTTTTTTTAGCATTAGGGGTAGGGTTTAGAGTTAGGTTTATTAATAAATGAGTATATATAGGTTTTATAGACTCTAAAAGTAAGTATGAAAGGTTTCTAGTTTCATTTTGATCAGATTTTATTTTAATCTGCAACAATAATTTGTATCTTCATTAGGTACAAAATAAATAAGAGAAGGATATAAAAAAAAAGAGTAGCTTAGAGAAAAAAAGAGATGTGACAACAATCCAAAAAGTAAAAAACAAACAAGTAATCAAAAGGAGGTATCATCAAGAAGAAGAAAACACAGCAGAAGAACATTCTTAGTAAAGAAAAAAATCAAACTTTAGACAAAAATAATAGTAATAGAAAAGATAAAAAAAATAAAGAAATAGAAGAAAAAGCTTTAATAAAGTAAAAAGAGCAAGAAACTCAAGTTATAAATACTTTCCAGTAGAAAAAGTTTAGCAGCAAAAATAAATAAATATTATACAATGCTGTAAGAAATCATATATTATTTAAAAAAGAATATAAAATAGCTTTTGGCTATTCAGTTCATTTAAATTTAGAAACATCAATTGAATTATAAAAAAGCAGCAAAAAATCTAGACCTTTTTTGTAAACAGACCTCAATGAGAACATTAATCAAAAAATATAATTCTTCACTTTTTAAATAATACAAAGAAAAAAAAATTATGAAAGAAAAAATACTAAATCGAAAAAAAGTAAGAATACTATATATAAAGGCTATACTAATCAAATAAGAGAACTTTGGTTTAGGCCACAGATAAACTAGTCTGAGTTTCTTTTCTTGCTATCATTAGATATGAAGTTTAAGTTGTAATTCTTTTCTGTATAAAAGATTTTAATTAAATTTCAATAAAGACAGAGATATGGTCTCACTATTAATATTCAAAAAAATCAAATAAGAGAACTCAATATCACAACTTATAATATTAATAATATTAAAAGCAATACTTATAATCTAAAGT